TATATATATATATATATATATATAATTTATATAACTTTTTCTCATAATTCCAATTTTTGAAATAAATATATATATATATTTCAAAAATTGGAATTATATATGTTTATATTTATACATTTCAGATATCATTGATGCAACTAAAATTCTCAAAAACTAGCATTTAGCACTATTTCAAGGATATAAATGCTAATCTCTTGGGAATTTGCATATGCAACTTATTCCACGTTATCAATACAAAATGCAGAAAAACAAAAAATAAGCTGAGATAAAACTAAATTATTTAATTAATACTTACTAAAGTTAAATGCAAATTACTTTTCTTTACTGCTCACTACACATACGCATGCATCTTACAAATAGAATCCCCCTTCAGACAAGAAAAAATAGATTTGATCTTTTGCAAATATAAACTCTTTAACGAGTATACTACTACATTATTTAAACTTATTTCTATATACAATAATGAATATCAGTAAATAGCTTGCTAATTGTTGAAAAATACTTGCTAATCAAGCATACTTCGTGTTTTCACATACATCTTTTTTAGACTTACTATTTTATGCGTAAGTCATACCAAAGAATGAAAATCGTATTATCAAAAAATCACTTATCAATATTTTTAGGAACAAAAGTAAGTGAAGTAGAAATAATAGCGATTTATGGAAAAATCTATATCACAGTATAAGTAAATATCGCTATCATTTATGACAAAGATCACAGGCACTAGAAAAAATATTACCAATATTAGAAGGAAAACAAACTATTAATTAAAATGTTTGAAAAAAAGCCAGTCTGAAGCAGTTATGATAGAAGTAACTGCGCTGCATCAATTATCTAGTTCTATTCGTAGCTACAGTTTGACTGTAATCTTTCAGGTAACAAAATTTGCATACAATCTCAACAAGAAAATCACACATTAGCAAAATAAGTGAAGATATCTCTCATAATAATATTCAATAGCAAAAAGTAATACCTCTAACAATAATACATTTAAATTTATTCCTGTAAAATACAAAAAAGACTGGACATTGGATACCATTAGCCCCTGATAAAACTCACTTTGGTTTTAAATTTAAAGTACATTCATGTACTTTTTCAAGTTCTGTAATACGTAAAAATTATGAGAGATATCTTCATAATTTCAATACTGCTACAAGTATTACATTTTGCTGCAAAAATGATTTCGACTATCATAATCTAATCCCTTACTGAATTTCATCAATAACTGAAACCACCAATTCGGAAGCTAAAAGAGATAAATCATTCAGTGATCATATAAAACCACTACAGCATTGAGAATTATCCAAATCCAACTTCATATTTCTGAAAAAAAAAGTCTTTAATAATTAAGACTATGTCACGAATAAACAATAATCGAAAAATATAGTTTGCCGAGAACTAAAAAAAATCTTTCTAATCATGTGCTATTATATAGTGTCAGTAAATATATATAAACCAATTTTCAGCAGCTGGGAAAGCACTCGAACAGTGTACAGGAACCAGCAAAACCGAGTTCCGGAACAAGATTCAACGCGAGAATCAAGAATTAATTTCTGACCTCCTGGACATGGCTATATATATTATTGCATCATATTTTAATAAAAATATTTGACAGGAATTAAAAAATAATACCATTATTCAATAAGCTTCACTAAAACATAGCATAGTTATAGAGCCAGTAGGATTGTTTTTGTCATATTTCCTGTACAAAAACAATTTATAGAAACTACATAGGTAATTAATACTGAAAACACATGTATGCAATGAAAGACTAAAAGAATTGAAAATAAAAAAATGAGCAGTCAAAGTGCAATTAGTACCACTAAATCAATCACAGTTGATGTGTTTGTGATATTCATAGCAACAAGATAAATCAACTTTATGACTTACCGTATGTACCAGACAGAATTGCTGACGACTTTAGTTTGTGACTTCAGTTAGTTTTAACTGCAGTGCTAGGAAGACATTACCGTCCCTAGTTTACCTTTCAGCACCGTTGCCAGAAAACCACATACTTGGTACTGAAAAAACCAGGAAATTCAAAATATCGAAAACTCGACACGAATAATATAACTAATTCAAAGAAACAGGACCACCCAGCTTTCACAATGTCCAAATTATCAGTAGCAATTTCAGTGCAGAGGACGAAACTGTCAAATTACAGTAGTTTCATTTCTGAATCCTTCTTGGGAAGTACCACTAGCATCACTTCATATCTGGTTGAAACAAAAGAATATTTGTATATGTATATATGTGCATTCACAACGATCAACTAATAAAATTTTATCACTTCAGAACTGCAACAAATCAATCAACGTATATTAAAGTTAATACAATCGCTGCGACGGCCCCATCGTGCTCTTGATATGCAACGATCTCACATTTTGCCAATTTTTTTTCAGTAGAGAAACAAGAAAATTTATGGAAAGTGCTATGTTAGAAACAAGCTCTTCAGATGTCATGTCAAGATGACCAACTGCGACTGATAAGCACAATACCTGCAATTTAAAATATGTAATTCAAGCACTATTAAATCTGGGGTCCATATTATACATCAAATCAAATTTTAGCATTGATGAACATACAGACCTTCTTCATTTGAAACTTGATTGTTGATCGGATTTCTACTATTTTAGTTGTAACTGCTTCTGAATGAGCGACGACAGTTGGGAATTTACCAGCTTTATTAAGACCAGGCCCTAGAATACGAGGAATTTGCTTGATTAACGCTTCTGAAGCCAAGAAAGCATCATAACTCTGAAAATAGTTTTTAATGAAGTTTACAAAAATACAGGAACTTCATTTAAAAACATCCATTCAAATACACGTAAAAATTATAAATGCACACCTCAGCCAACTTCTTGATGAGTTTCTTGTTTTTATTCAATTTCTTCAGGTCATCAGCATTCATGCATGGTATGCCGTTTGCACTAGCTTCATCACAATGCTGTTGATCCCCCAATACACAAACTTTCATATTCGGTCTTGGGATATTTTTGAGCCTAGATAATTTTTCATATGCAAAAATCAATCTTGAATTTAGAGCTTTTCAGTAAGAACAGCTTATTCATGTAAAAGCATACTGATATTTACAACAATTCTTGCAACTAAACCAAACTTGCCCTCTTAATTAGGGCTATGCCGAAAATTAGTCGTAGGGAGATAGAAAACTGTGATTCCTCCACTTCAGTTTAAGTGTTAACAAAATATTCAATGCTTACTGTTGGTTCAACATATAAATCGAATTTCATACATTACTTGTAATGCATGAAACTCTACCCAACATTATAAGACCCTGGGTTGTGGTCTTCACTGTTTAAATTGAACGACTTCCTGCTCCCTTACGTGCGACAAACTTCAATGGAGGAGTAGAGACATTAAATAGAAAATAGAGGAATCCATGATGATTGCTGGATAGTACCTTACTGATCCGCTAAAACGTTTATCCTTCTGTGGATCGTAATTCTTCAATCCTATTTGCAATTCAACTGTTTCACGAAACCTTCGTTTCTTCCGTGGCTTCAGCACTTCGTTTACACATTCTATTAACGTTTCACGTGGGATTTTACTCATCCTCAATTCTTCTGCGAAAAAACGATGCCCTATAAGTTTTTATATTACGAAACACAAGTATGCTTGACCTAAAATCCGATCTTGTAGATCTATGAAAATGAAAAGAAAACGATACAATATGCAGCATGTTGCTAACGACATACTCGTGGAAAAAAAGCTTCAAAAAATTGACTAAATCTTTCATTCTTATATAAGAAGCATAAAATCACTAACATAAAACAGGGATATTTGAAATAAAGAATTCAAACACAATAAAACAGCTCTTTAACAACCTCCTAATTGGAATCTGTATTTGAATACAGAAAATAAAACATATTCTAATAGTTTGGCTTTCTTTTGTTGATATTAACGGAACTACTCCTAAAGATAATCCATTAGTCAAATTTGTAGTGCTAGAGCCAACGAGACGAAACTAAATTGCAAAATGAAATCAGCACTGCCTAAAAACCTGCGTTCTACTGCATTTCAATATACACTGCGAAATACAGGTACAACTTTGCAACTCTCTATCTTAACTAAAACGTCAAAAACTACATATGGGTTAGGCTATATTGGTTTTTCGCAGTCAGCAAAACTTTAACAATTTTACGAGACATGCATCTTACAAAATAATGATCATAACAGTTCAGAAAGGGCAATGACGTGAGCTCGAAAAGTTACTGGAATAGTATCACGTGAATACCCTAGAAGTAATTCCAGCAAATCAGTAAAGCACAAACGATAATAAGACACAGTAAAGGACTTGTTTTTGATTTAATGAAATGATAAGTCAAAAATATTTTAAAAACTGACAATAATGACCATGATAAAGCAGTAAATCTAATAATGACTCTAAAACATCATGAAAGCCTTGAAACAGCACATCTTGCATTTGGTAACAATAAACAGTAAACTGAAAGCAAAAAAAAAAACAATAACAGCAATGTTAGTAACAAGATAACAATAGGCAATATTCATAATACATCCAAATCTACGACACATTCATTATTTTGACAATCTTCAGCCTGAAAACCGTATTTTTAAGAATTTAGTTAAATCGCACAATCATATTTGATATCTGTCAAGTTCTTCTGCAGTTTTTTGAAACGTGCAATAAATAAAAAGCAATAACGAAAATCTTGCAGTTTTACATCATGCGCGAAGGTAAGCCAAAATTAAAAAAATTAGATTATGGTAATTCTATTCAATTGAAAATGTTGCAAAAAAAATTTATTTCCGATCGAAAACTAAAAAAAAATAAAAAATTAAAAAGGAAGCTAGTTTAGCAACCGTAAGCAACAGGTAAACTAACAAATTCGTTAGGAGAAGCAAAAGATTCGAATTTCCATGATAAGTTGGAGTTTGACACACTATACGATAGCCAAACATGTCTCACTTTTCCAGCTAATTCATCCCAATGGTCTTTTACGTAGTCTTTAAATTTTTTCACATTCATGGTAACTTTTCCAACAACGCCACTCATCCAAACCCAATTTTCATCGGGCAGTGTTTCTGGTAATCTTATTTTCTCACAAACCTGTAACTCAGCTTTAAGCACCAGTGAACTAATAAAGCCGAACTTTCATCATATTTTAAATTGTAGAAACAAAAACCCTATTTCATAACTACAAGAACATTCTTTTGCTTTCTAAGTAAAAGTCATGAAAATAAAAGAGCAAGTATAATTGTTAGTTTAATGACAACAACAACCACTAAATTCAAATTATCTCAACTTCATTATTATGAATTCGAGAATCTAAAAAACAATTATACTTGCACTCTGCTTCCTACTGATTTCGTAGGTAAAACTGCATTCACTGCATATTTCAGTTTGAAAACTTCCACTTTCTTCTGTCTATAAAAATGAATAATCACAGAAACCTTAATTTATGCACTATATTTTTCAATTAACTTGATCTTTTTACTACAACCTGAAAAAATGAGTTTTTTATTTCAAATCATGTGCTGAATAATGATAGTATAACTGAAGATCATGAATAATATATTATACAAACAGAGAATTTAGCTAAAACACATTTATGATACTCAGCAAGTTTTATAACTTAACGAGAAAAAATCAAAATGTGAAGCATGCAAACATTATAACTCTTGAATAACAAAAAAAGATTTGAATAAGATGGAAACCCGTTTCGAACTGAGAAATCAAGCCAGGTACCGATAGCAATATTTTTAGATTGTGAATGGTAAAAATGTAAAATACCAGTTGCTAAGGACCACAAAGCAAGATTCCCTTAAACAAACCGAGTTTAAAAATAATTAAGAAAATCTTCTTAAAATTTATAGACGAAAACCTTGCAATTTACAGAAAACCTATTTAATGCATTACATGTTCCTAGGAAAAGGGAATTCAAAAATTTCCGAACTTTCCCATTCCCTGCAAACCAAACAAGTCATGAGAAAAAGCAGATAATTTAAAATTATCAAAATGTCTAAAACGAATAGAAAATGAGTTTTTTAACGCGAAAAATTCAAAAACATATGACATATTCGAATTTATAAAAAAATTAAAAAACCACTAGAACGATATTACTTTGTCCATTTACCGCAACATAACCAATTACCAATCCTGTGTAAACTGCAGCCAAATTAATTTTCTTGGGATTATACTCCTGTAAGAAAAAATTTCAAAACAGCCGAAAACAACACGATTAAAAACAATATTTCGAATTTTGTTGAATATAAAAAACTTGGCAATCGCTTAATAACTTGAAACTGTATGTACAATAAATAAAATGTATTTTATTTTAGAAAAAAAGTGTGGATCACATATGCCAAAGCATGAGCTGATCCTGGTTGTGTACTTGCTGGCCCTTGTTCATCAGCTAACGGCTGAAATAAATTCTTGCAGTGCGAAAATAGGAAAAAAAGAGTCATCCTTCTTTAAATTACTGCCTAAGAATTTAAATACCAGTGAACCTCGACTTGTTATTTTACCTTTCTACAAACCTTTAAAAAAACCTCTAGATCTCAACCTGAAAATCATCAGCAAGATAAGAAATATGATGTAATGAAACAGTGCACAAAAAGCAGAAGTCTTGTTTTTCACATCAATAAAACGAAATGTTGAGCAGTGAAAATATGACTGAAAGTTTTAAAAATGTTTCGGCGAATAGTAATATGAATGGCTGAACTCAAGTAAAAAATCGTAGTTTCATCTTATAGAAAAAAGGCAAATAAACTAAATCGACGACGTACAAACAGTATATATATAAAATTGAAAAAATTAATTTTACCATATCGTTGATATCAAGTAAATTTATCTCAGGCCGAATTATTTCAACAGTTCTGGTTAGCACGTTATTATCTGACGACAAAGGCTCTTTCATTACTTCAATCCACGTGACATAAAGAGTGTTCGACACTACTCGCTCATCATTAAATATTTTTCTGTCATCAAGAATCCACTGTAAATAATCTACACCAACAATAAAGTTACATTTCAGTGCGGTTATTAAAAAAGCTTTCAAATTATTTAAATGTTTATTCCATGAAAACGGCAGTACAAAACATATAAATAACCAACATTGAGCAATAAAAATCAGTGTTTTACTATTCCAAAAACTAATCAAAACATTATAACACGATTTCCGAAAAAAAATAAATACTACCTCCGTCACCGCAGAAAAATATATAATGTTTGCGCGATATTTAGCAATAAATATGTTTAAAAAAATATTTTAATGTTCTAGAAAACATGAGAAATATCTGCAAATACAACTACCAAATGAAATAAAGTATACATTAAAATGAGGCGACCATACGCACTGCTCAAAATTCGAATCTTCGACATTTGATCTTTGAGGTAAAGCTGCAATAGTTTGAATCTGAAAAATGATAACAGCCACTATACAAAAAATTTAAGTAGGAAAAAGCTGAAATAATTTTAAAACAGAGTGTAATGCAAATAAAATTGCGGATAAATGAATAAACACGAACCAATATCTGATAATTTATTGAACCATCAATATTTTGAAATTTTATGACTTTCGTTGGAAAAATTGAAGGTATATGTTGAATGCTGAGTATACCCGAATCAATATTGAACTGAAAGTAGTTTTGAAAGCTGAAGTAATACAAATCATACAAGCAAAAGACTATATTGTAAGGCTTTCCACTTTGTGAAAAAACATAGAGCTTCAGATAAAAAAATCATAATCTTATTCTGAACCTCAATTTAGTAATAAAAATTTACATTACCCAAATAGCAACAGCAACAGAAAAGCGTTAATGAATAAAGACTAAACATTGCAAAATATCTGGTAACCTACAAAGCAAGATTGCACTAAGTACTTTAGCAGTTTGCATTTTTCAATGACAAACTTTTGTTAATCTAGCACAAAAATACTACGCAGATAGAAGCATTGGTCAAAACTTGAATAAAAACTAAATTGTAGAAAAAACAAGAGTGCACTTTACTGAATAAAATCAAACCAAGAAATGTAATTTACAAAATGTCAATGAAAACAAAGTTGAAATATAAAATAAACTGCAATATGAAGTAGTAAATATAGTAACATAAAGTAGCCTGAATGAATGTAATCTATTGACATAGAAGATTTGAACTTGTTTGATATGCATTAATGGAGTGATATATGAACAAAAACAATGTAGATATTCTCAAAAATTCAAAAAAACCCTCCGTTTGAGCCTGAGAAACTGATCCGAAAATTTGAAGAACGACAAAATATTGGAAGGACACTCTATTATTACCAATATACTATTTCAAGATATAACAAATAAAACTTTTTGCTAACTTATATCATAAGAGTAATTTCTTTCGTCCAACATCAATAGAAATTCTTGCTACTGCAATATGCATAACTCGATGGATCACAAAAAGTAGTAATTAAAAAAATACATGGTATACTTTGTAAGA